GTTGTGTAAATATCACAATATCACACAAAAGTCTGTTTTTCATTTAATCATCAAGTTGCTCTCTAACATACTAAACGTACTAAACCCGTCAATTTGTCTGGCAGCACGTGACACGAGGGTTTTTCAGCTATTTACTTTATCTGTATTTCAATATCGGCACCTTGCTGATTGTTGTCAAATATATACCATACTTTTTTGTATAAATTAATATTTCTTATCAAATAAACCCTTTCACTTTTACGAATAATCCAATATTTTTTTACCAATTAACTTCGCATACTGTAGCTTTGTATTTTGGATATATCAAAAAACCATAATGAATTCTGTTATCTGCAATTTTTTATACGCTTAGAAACCACAAAAAACATCATTCAAAAAAATTATAATTAATTTTTACTTTTCGTCTATATTATAATATTTTTTATTTCCTTTTTGTCTGCTTGATATGTAAATATTTACATACATATACATATATCTATATATAGTATGCTAATTCCGAAACTTTCTTTAAAATTATTTGGGATCTGTTTTTATTAATTTCTGTTTTTAGTTTTTATTTTTAATTTTTTTAATTTTTTGTTAAGATTTTTTTTCTTTGTACTTTATTGAATTTTCAAATTCTTTTGTATTTATATACTTTCAATGTTTAAACTTCCTTAAAACAATTTTGTAATAAGTATACAGACATATATTCATACATCTATATAATATCTTACGCACATATACATGTTTAAACGCTGCGATATATTGTCACACTTTGCGTCACTATATCTATTTTTGATATACTCTATGAGAGTATAGGAACATATCTTAGCCATATGTCTCGTCTTGCAATCATTTTTCTATTCAACTGCCAAATGTGTATTTTTCTCCTATATTTTGTATAATACACGTAATGCCGCAAAAACCTAATCTATAAAAAAAGTATATATGTGGCACTTTGCGCATATCATCGGCATACACAGTTGTCTTATTCAAATTAGTATCTTTAGCTCATGTGTTATGTGGTGGGCAACAAATTTGGTCGAGTCTAGTAATAAACGTCATCACTTTAAAAAGACTTACTAACAAAATTAAAGTCTCTTAACTTCTTCGTATTAATTATACCACATTTATTACTAACGGGTAGGTGTTAAGTCAATCTAAAATCAAAAATATATTTTTATCTCTTATTTTTGCTTTATAAATTACAAAAATATTTAATAAATTTTATCTGATTTACTTTTTAGCAATTATCTAAAATATACTCTCATAAACAAAATCATATGTACCCATTCTAAAAATCAGTTTTACAGGGTGTAAATATAAGCACTAATGTTTTAATTAAAACATTAAACCATCATTTTTATGTGTTGCTTAAAACTCTTTATTGATATAAAATATAAATATTTTAAAGAAAAATACAGAAATTAAAAAACATACAATTTAAAAATACCAGAAGTAGGTATCTACAGAGTTTATAATAAGTTCGAGCTAACACATAAGGAATCTATTACTCTATTTTGAAAAATTATAGCGTTTTAGACAATTTTGGCATGTTTTACGAATAAACCCTAGTGTAATACTGCAAAATAATATTGATCTGTTTCCTTGACAGATCAAAACCTATCTGAAAAAACATGGGTATCCGACTTGATCAGTTAGTTAGTTAGTTAAGGTGGAGGGAGGACAAGTTCTCCTCAATTAGCTAAAAAGCCGTTTTGAATCCACAAAAATCTCGTAATAGTGGGTAGTAGATAGAAGGTCAAACTACAACCAGCCAGAGGCATTAACAAGGGCAAGAATCTGACTAATGCTGATGCTGGAGATATTCACTTATCTCCAGCATCTTATCTATCTTATCTATATCTTATCTATCTTATCTATGTTTTAAAATAGCAGCGGTTTTAATTGACTTGGATATGTTGGGCAATACGTAATAATAGAAATGCAAAAATATAGAAGGGCAGTATGATATGTAAAAATCGGGAAAACAGGCAAAGTCATAGCTGGATAGACGCAGTTAAAAAAGTTGACCTAAAAAAGAATTAATCTTTCTTCGAAAGCAATCTAATGGACCAAAAAATTACAAAGAAAACTCTGACGCACAATGTCTTACTACGCCATAAATGATAACAATTATTATTTGTGGAAAAAATTATTTTTATATTATAAATTATTACAATACTTTAATATTTTTTAAAGCAAAATTATTACAAAAAATGTCAATTGGTTAACAATATAATTTTTCACTATAAGATGAAATCAGATTCTTATAAATGCCACCAACATACAATAGTGTAATAGTGTTAATGTTTTTCTAAAAGATCATATATGTTCCATCAGCCTGTAACATAAATCAATTCATATCAAATTTTGGGTCTCTAGTTATGAATAAACGGGGTACTAGCTCCCGACGGAGCGGAGCACTGTGACCGTGATT